TTTTTTTTTTGCAATCTCACATATCTTGAAAACAAGTGACTGATGATTTTTTCATTCCTCTGTTTTCAGTTAGTGCCACTTGTCTCTGAAGCACTAAGTGGTATGATGAAGAAGCTGGCAAATGCTGGAAATAAAGATGCCCTCATTCAAGTTCTGCGTTTAGAGTTAGAAGAGATCCAACAGAAACATGTGCAAGAAATAAGTAGCCTGAAGCATGTGATGAGTAAGTCAAATCGAATTGAGTTTATCCGTTCGGGAGTGTTACAAGTGCACAGGGTGTAACTTTTTCCCAAGGGCGACTGACAGCTAGTTCATGGAAAAATTCAGCTCTCAAATTTTTGATCGAAATACTTTTGAGTATCTCAAAGAAAGCCTAAAGTGGATTTTTTCACTTTTGTGCTGACAGAGGGCAATACCAATTCCAAAATCAAAACTCTTATACTGCAATGTGTAAACAAATAAGATGCTGAAAATCTTTGTTCATGTTGAAATGTTGAATAGATCATCTATTGTGTTGCAGTCAAAAATGAAAATTAGATGTATTTTTATTCAAACTCTAATTTTTCCACTACCCTGAGACTTTTTGTGTGGAAGTTGGCGGTCTTCACTCTGCGAAGAATCACATTTTGACAGAGCTCAATTGGAAATCACCAAGCCGCGTTGAGGTTGAATTGAACAGGGTGACTACAAGTCCGGAATTTCCGGAAATAGTACTGATTTTTTAAGGGCAGTCCGGAAGTACTGAAAAAAGGCGGAAATTCCGGAAAAAGGTCCGGATTTTTTTTAATTTTTTGTCATTTTTGTCACAATTTCAATTTTTTGAAATTTTTCTAATTTTGTCAAATGCACGTACTGTAAAAGAACGGCATTTTTCTGTTGGAGGAGGTAGTGAATTTCTCGAGAATGTACTGAAAAAGTACTGTAAAAGTACTTATTTTTGACCAGCCTGTTTTAGTAGACACCTTGTTGAAGGAGTGGAGTTTTCAAGTTTAATTTCTCTTGTGTGTTTTGGCACTGAAGATTTTTTACCATGCACTAATCTTTCCAATTTGTTTGTTCGTAGACCAACAATTCTTGGAATATGCTCATACAAGTGATATCATAAGGAAACAGACAGAGCAGAAATGGAGCAAAAAAGTTGCTGAGTTGGAAGAGTCCCTTAAAAAGGAGCAAGAGATCCTCAAAAAGGAGCAAGAAATCCTCAAAACTGAAAGAGAAACTTGGAGGAAGAAGGTAAATAACTTAACTGCAGTAATACAAGAGCTTAGCTCTCCTCCTGAGGAATCTGGAAACCAAGAGTAATGCCCTCCCATGTATACTTTTGTACTAAAGTGAACGTCTCATTGTAAAGATAAGTCTTTATTAAGATTTTTTCGTATATTTTTTCAACATAACAGATTTCTATTCTTTTAAGTATGAACATAAGGTTACACTGAGTTCAATTCAATGTTCTTGAATTGTTCTTATATTAATGTCATAGTTCCTCCTTTTTTGCTTCCCAGTTTTTTCATAATGCATGTATACAATTTGGTAAACCGAACATTTGATGGCCCTTTCTACTAAATTTAAAAACAAGCCTTTACTCTTATTTTTTTCTTGATTGACATTTTGAATGAATGTATCATTTTTGTATTGATAAATTTTTTTACTGAAGTTGAATTGAATTGGGTCTTATTTACATTTCGAAAACGAGTTTCACATCCATTTTTTAAGTTAAAGTTCGATGTTAAGTTTGATGGTCTCAAAGAATGATCACCTTGGGCTGATTAATGAGTAGGGATTGAGGGGATGGGGCTTTAACTGAATGCGTAAGATCAGCCCTTTGTGGGTTTTGGAAGTGTACAAAAAAATAAAAAAAATAAAAAAAATAAATATGAGAGTGACAAATTCACAATGGTAGGTAAAGATTATCAGTATCCTCTCGAGGATAGGGTCTCTCTCAGTTATTAAAAAGTTCAAGTTAACGCAAAAATTTTATTTTACAAAGATAAATTACAATGATTAAATTAGACAGGAGTAGAAAATTGACAAACACAGCCATGAGGAAACCAAAAGATATCATTATAGATATTATTACCATCATCACTTAATGCTACTAGACGTTTCTGAACGTACTTCTGCTCACATCTTGAGTTGTAACCATTAGGAAGGGAACACAGACTATTACATTGAGAGGATCTGAAAAGAAAGGAGAAAAAATAAAACCACAAATGATAAATACAAAATCGGTGATAAGGCTCTTTCAGGTGTGTTAAAATGCTCAGTCTTTTTACAGAAAACATCTTTAAGCACACAAATCTAGGTTCAGGTGTTCTTTATCCTGCAAAAAAGGCAGAGGTTCAAATTGAATTTTGATCATTTTTAAAATCAGTGCTTTAAGTGATGAAATTTTATCGCCATTAGGTTGATGGTTGAAATTTTGCGTTTTTCAACGAGACAAGTCAAGCTTTAAGTGAAATGGAATCAGATGAGTGGTCTATTTAATTGCTTCATACCCAAGAATTCTTTTTGTCAAGCCTTTATTGGGCTGGATAGTCTACAAGCTAAAGACCCTTTCTTGGTGATCTGTATCCAGTCTATTAAAAGGCTTGATAAAAGGCACAACAAAAAGAGAATGTGACTGTGGAGCGACAAAATCGACAACAAAGGACAACCTGCACACAGAATACTAAAAAATTCGACACTGGCCAAATTTTAAGATTTTTTAAATGATGCTCATTATGATCTCCTAAGTAAGATGAGTTTTTAAAATCGAACTTTCTATGTGCCAACCTCAAAAAAATGGAGTCTGGAAAGTGCTTTTTTCGGCGGTTTCACAAGCATAATCTAGTGGAAAAACGTAGTTGATTGAGGAGCAACTTCCTCTTTCCTCATCTTGTACTGGCTGGGAGATAAGACATTGTATCGTTTAAAACAATATGCTTTGCATCTACAACTCAGTAACAGTTCTACTTCCCTGGATAATATCAAGAGATCAATACCCAGAAAGTGCACTATTCAGAGCCAATTTTCTCAAGATTGGCTTTTAAAAATTCGATTTTAAAAGCTCATCCGACTCAAAATATATTGAGGAACTCGGTATCAAGAAATCTTAAAATTTAGCTGGGGCCAAATTTCTTGGTATTCCTCGAGAAATCTTTCATTTCACCTCAGTCTTGTAATGCCTTGTTGACAAGCACAAAATTTTACGATCAGCTTGTAGATGACGAATTATCCTTCTACTGACAACAGCAAAGCAGAATTTTTTGGTTGGTGTAACACCGCAAAACTTGAAGGTACCTGTTTAGATTGTTTACATAAGTCTCACATAGTAAGTCCATCATCATGTGCTGGCTGCTGAAGACTGTGCATCTGAGATATGCCTCTCATTACTGCAAAAAGAGGGAGTAAGAGGATATCTAGTTGATGAAGGTACTTACACACAAACTTCACTTTGGACAAATTGTGTAGGTTTGTCACCAAGATTCACAACATACTTCCAAGATCCTTGGTTATTTAGTGCAGCCTGAGGCATAACATACATTGACCTAGTTGGGCACAGTGTCTCCGTAAAACCGCCACTCGCTTGTCGCCGAGCTCTTGGTGCTAAAGAAAATCCTTCACTCTGATTTGAGCGCTTTAATCTGTGAAAAAGTTTTGAATGTGTAATGAGACAGGTACTGTAAGCACATGAAAAAGAAAGGAAAAGAAATCTAACCGAGGAGGTTTTACTGCAATCATAACTATAAGTGAAATTGAAACAGAGTGCACTTTTCTCTCTGCTAGTCACGACATTTTTCGAATTTCTAGAAACTATAAAATTATCCATTTTAAACTTGCATTCACCGAATCTGTTCTTTTAGATCTCACGGTCAATAGAATGGGCAGCTGCCATACTCTATACCCCAGAGACCACATGGATTGCATTTTGCCATAAGGAACCAAGAGCATTCCAATGTTGCTAAGATTGTGCAACTTACATTCTTTGCAATAAAATTACGGAAATCATGCAAAAAATTAAATTTATGAAAGTAATTTTCATCTTGTATCCATAGTTTATTGGAAATAAAGATAATACTTGTTAAGATGATCAGTTTATATTTGCAAGGTACCTACAAAAAGTTGCACAATTTCAGCACCATTGGAATGCTCTTGGCTCATTTTTGTAAAATGCAATCCATATGAGAGTCACTCACAAATTTTCGTTCTTTGATGAATTTTACGGCTATCAATGCGATGAACAGGCAAACATGACTGACTTCATTTTTGAGAGAGTACTGAGTACTTTTTAAAACTCAAGTGACCTGCCACCTAAAAGTTTCCACTCTTTAATCATTTCAACCGTGCAGGCTCTGGAAATTTAAGCTTTGAATGTGGGTCTCAACCTTTTTCTTCGGTTTTCAAATGAGCCAACGTACTTTATCCATGTTTGAATGAATCTTAAGATTTAAGACACACATACCTACTAAACCAATCTGATGGATTGTTGTAATAAGTTGAATCTGACTTAAAAAAATTATCATAGAAGGGATCCGTATAGGGCACATCATTGGTCAAGGCTGATAGTTTTTTGTCCGAAAAATGAGGAGGTTCGGCAGTAGTGAAGGATGGATATCCCTTCTCCGGCGCATTAGTCGTGAATGAAGGGAGTCTCCTTTCATCATAGTGCCGGTGAGCCTATACTTCAAATAAAAATAGAGAAAAAACAATTGAAGGCAAATTAGCTATCACAGATTTAAGTAAAATGCGTTTCATTAAAGAAATCTCATCTTTTCGGGAGAAGTTTCTAGAATTTTTCGTGAGAGTAACAAGCATTGGTTTCTGAGGCAGTGTTGATCTTTTAAAAACTTCAATGCCAAAATTTTTAAAGGGCGAACCTAAAGATTTCCTCTCTTAGTTTATTCTCTTTCCTTTGGAGTAAATCAATTGAGCTGAAGTAACATCGACTGGACTTAAAAATAACTTAAAAAATTGTTAAAATGTATGAATTAGGAAGCCTTTTTTGTTTTTTTTTAGGTATAATTTGTGTAATAATAACGTTAAAAAATGTTGCAAACAACATGGCATTGCAATTTTGTTATATTCTAAAAATCATATAAATTGATGCTTAACACCAAATAAAAAGCAAAATGCAACATAAGAAACAAAAAATTTATGTAACATCAATATCTTTACGTTTTAATTTACCAAAATTAAGTGAAGAAAAACTTATAAGTGAAAAGTGGCATTTTTACCTAAAAAAGAGCAAAAAAGGTTTCCTAATTCGGGATAAAAACCGCGTCTCTCAAAGGTTCTCTAAAAAAAGCCAATGCTACCAAGGAATTATTTAACCCGTCTGCAGCCCTGGCGGTTAGGTTTTAAGAGAACAGCGGCGGACAAGATATACGTGCTAGAATTATAAATTTAAGAAAAGAAAACATACTTGAGAATTACTCTGGAAAGGAGTCGGTTGATCAAAAGGATGATGTTGTGGTGGTGACATCACAGCAGGACTATAGTCATAGCCTTGGAATCCTTTGCCTGAATCGTGATGTACACCATATGGAACAGGATCCCTGTAATTCCATCAAAGATTCAAAATAGTTACTCCTCATTGAAATATAAATATTTATCTGTCCTCAAATTCTAGAATTGAGATATGATACATGCTCTGCAGCCTGTGACAAGATATACAATAAAACACAATTTAAAAAGCAATTAACAAGGCTAAAAGTTCACACACACAAAACCAAAACGTTTCGGCTGAAAATTCAGCCATCCTCAGTTGGATAAATAAATATAAAAATGGTTAAAAATCTAAAATAGTACCTGACTGTACCTTTCAATTGAGAATGTTGTTATGATACATTGTCATAAACAACACGCTCAATTGAAAGGTACAGTAAGGTACTATTTTAGATTTTTAACCATTTTTATTTTTATTTATCCTGAGGATGGCTGAACTTTCAGCCGAAACGTTTTGGTTTTGTGTGCCTGAACTTTAAGCCTTGTTACCCGCTTTTTAATTTGTTTTTTATTGTATAAACTCCAGAAATCTTGCTTGCTGTAACTTCTTGGGTGGAGAAGAACTGTAGGGAGTAACGGTTTTCTAAGGCCTGCCATCTATATTCACGCTCCTTAGTATATTTGTTGCCTATGCGGAGAAATTGCAGGCGAACCGGGACCTCAAGTCATTATTCCTTGAAGTTTTTACAGAATTTTGTACGCACAGCGGAGTTTTGAGGAGTTAGAGGAATTGACGTTGAGTTGTTTTCCATTTAGAAAATAAATTATACCAGGAAATCTACAACGTCGCAAACCGAGGCTCGTAGTTTGGGAGTTTCTTAATCGATATATCAACGTTGTAAGTCGGCAATCACATAATTCGGTTCGCGACGTCGCAGACTTCCTGTCATTCTACTTTATCTTTTAAACGGAAACCCACTCAACGGCTTTTCTTTAAAACTGCCGTGATTTTTCTTCTCTGTGCGAAGAGGATTCTGCAAAAACTTCAAGGAATGATGTCAATTTGTTCTCCTTTAAAAAAAATAACATAGAGGCGGAGATTTTTAGACACCGCAAATAAGAGATATGTGATTGCGGACTTACGCCGTCGATATGCGTGTTTTTCAATAGATATACTTTATACCTATTATCCATTCGCTTTCCGTGTTGAGTTTTTTGCCTATGCGGTGAAATTGAAGGCGAACATCAAGTTAACAATATTCGCCAGTAAGATCGCGCATGGTCTTTGGGCGGAATTTTTTAAAACATTTTGAGTATCTAATCCGGCCTTTGAAGTAAATTCAGAACTTACTGTCCGTCCCTCTAAGTATTTAAAAAAAATGGAATGGAAAATTGAAGAAAACGGGAGAGCAGAAAATTCATTCAAGTTTAGTGAGTCGTAGTAAAGAGCGGAATATGAGTGTCTTTGGAATATTTTTATAATTATTTTCGCTACGCGGTACGTTTGTTGCCTATGCTGTGAAATTGAAGGCGAAACTCACGTTTCAAACTTAAAACTCTCTCTTCCAATTTTTCTCGCTCCCTTCAACCTTATCCTCCATTTTCCATTTTTATTTTTTTTCTCCTTTTTAATTTTTATCAATTTTTTCCCTCCAAATACGTGGAGTAAGACCATTAAATTGAGCAACGCGCAGTAAGTAATCCCCCCTCCGCCCTCCGCCACTGTTCTCTTTTTCATTTCGTATCGGCAACGCTTGCGCACTTGGATGACACCAGACTTCCAAGACGTGCCGAAGAGCTGAGTATTTAGTCCGTTCAGAATTTGCCTTGAAATTGTGTCAGAGATCTCGTCTCCGTGAATCATCCTTTTCACAGCCTCATTCGTGTTGCAAGTTCCATTGATGCGCGCGCTGAACCGCCAGAAAGATTTCTGTCAAGGTCGAAGGCTCTGTATTCGAATAGGGCTGCAAATACAGTGGTGTAACGGACACCCCTGCAGACCTTGCCATATGAGGTGTACATTCAGATCAATTAGAAATCCCCTAGAAGGCAGGTTTGAGGGGCACACTAAAGCTGAAAAGGGACTAAACTGGCAGATTATTGACATTGATAGACAAAGCGACAGACAAAGAAGACATAGAGAACATGGAGCGATCCTATCGGTGGGAACAGGTGGTTGTCATGGACTAAGGAAGAAAATGATGGACTAATTAATTACGGACTTTCATGGGTTGCCGTCAGTTAGTCTGTTGCTTACCTTCTTTGTCCATTGTTACCTCCTGCTTCCGTCTGCAGCGGGTCGATTATTAAAATTGATAGACAAAGCGATAGACAAAGAAGACATAGGGAGTGCGGAGCTATATCCTATTGGTTGAAATGGGTGGTTCCTGTAGACTAAGAGAGAAAATGATAGACTAACTATCGGGTTCCTCGTGGATTGCCGTTTTTTAGTCTATTATCTATCTCTTTTGTCCATTGCAACCACCCGCTTCCACCAATGGGATCCCTCCATATCCCTTTTGTCGTCTTTGTCAATAGCTTTGTCTATCAATTTCAGTACTCGGCCTGCAGGATCGTGTTATTTCCCTTTTATCCTCTTTGTCTATAGCTTTGTCTGTGAATTTCAAAAATCAGTCCGCGGGGCAGGCCCCCTGAATTTGTTTAGAAAATGTTGATCATCCAATATGGCATTTTAAGTAAATTCAGCGAGTATTCACGTTCCGCGTCCCCTTAAATATTTCTAAAAATGAAATGGAGTATTGAAGAAAACGAGAAAGTAGGTATGAACAATTCCTAAGCTTCGTCTTTGTTTATTCAGTCAGTGGAGACTCGCTCTCTAAGTATTTACATTTTCATGGTCGCATTTGACGAACTCCAGAATAATTGTCCCCTCAAAGTTTTTAAATAATTTTCTAATATCATATATTGTGCTCGCTGTCAACGACTGAGCCAGCCAGTTCATTGGAATAAAACCATCCGCCAGTACGACAAATAAAAACAAAGAAAAAGTTGTGTACTCAACTATATAAATCGTGATTCACGCCAGGGCCGGATTTAGGGGGTGGCCACATGGGCCGCGGCCCATGGCGGCAAATTTAGGGGGCGGCAAATTTTACAATTTTTTTAAATGTAGCTATAAAGGAAATTCGGAATCAGAGAAAAAAATTACAAACGAGAAAAGGTGACAAAATCTCTCATTTCCTGAGAGTGTATTTCGAATTTTTTCGTATTTCTGTGATACAATAGACAGGACCTTTAATTAGTCGAGTTAAGACTAAGAGAGAAACCGAACACGGAATTAGGTCTGGAACAGAGAGCAATGATGACGAGAACTTGAGATGCAACGGAGAAACCCTCAGCGCGGCGCGGCGCGGCGGTCGGCATGAAACACATATTAGCGCCTACAAGACTGCATGAATACTTCACGCATTGCGTAAGACAGTGCGGTCAGCAGCGGGCGGCGCGGCGTGAAACGCATAGCGCCTACAAGACTGCATGAATACCTCATGCATTGCGTCAAACGCACAGTGCGTGCAGCAGCGGTCGGCGTGAAACGCATAGCGCATACAAAAACTGTAGGAATACTTCACGCATTGCGCCGAACACAGAGCGGTCAGCGCGGCGCGGCGGTGGAAGTTAAAATTATTAAAACCACATTTACGTTTGTTCTGTCATCATTACTTTTTCGTTCATTTCATATAAATGGAAGGCATTGTCCACAGAGAGATAGGTTTACGGAACTTAACTATCGCGCCAAGTTCCGTGAACTTTTGTTAGTATAGTGTTGACAGGGCTGTCGCAAAAAATGTGTCCAACACGAGTAAACGCTTCTTATGAACCCCTCCCCCTCCGGCACGTTCACTCGATGGTTTTTATTGATGTTTCAAAACGAATGAGAAGGGGGCGGCAAAATACAGGCGGCCCATGGGCGGCAAGTAAGTAAATCCGGCCCTGATTCACGCAATCCGATAGTTTCCAGATTGCGAATTTGTTGCTTCAATCACCAATTTTAGAGCAGCACTTCGAAGAAAAGGATGATGCCAAAGTAAGTTTTTTTTTCTAAGTTACGATTTATTGGTCTCCTTTACACAGGAATTACAATTTTTTTTTTTTTTTTTACAATATAAGAAATAAGGAAATAAGTAAGGAGCGATTTTAACAACGATGCTACTATTCGATTAATAACGTCGTTTCTCAGTTCAGCCAACGATCATTCAGAGCGATTTAATTGTGTGATCATGGAATGGATAACTTTTCACGCTCTCCGGTACAATGGCGTGGCGTGCTTTACGATATATCGATTGATCGGTCATTTAAACCAAGTATCGATAAACAGGGTGTTCGCAGCCGAACACCTTAATAATCGATTATTTACCATAGCTTCACGTGGGGAAATATCGATAGATCACAAAGCACACCACGCCACTGCTCCGGTATGTTTGTTGTCTATGCGGCAAAATTGAAAGGCGAACCTCAAAAATACTGTATCTGTCAATAGGTTTACGCATGGTCTATTGGTATAGCAAACTTGATGGAGAGAGATCAATGTCCATGTATTTTTCGAATGGATAGATATTCGTGCTTTTCGGTAGGTATGTGTTTGTGGCCTATGTGGACAAACTGAAGGCAAACTTTTGTGAGATAGACGATACCTAACACTATTAGGTTATCAATATCGTTTATCGCACAGTGGTATTGAAGCCAAAAAAAAAAAAAAAAAAAAAAAAAAAAAAATGCTTCAAAATGCTCAAAAAATATACCCAAAAACTGTTTGCAAGTGGTGAGTCTATGGTATGCGTGAACTTGAAATCGCGAAAAATCAAAATCTTGGCTGATCCTAATTTCGACGTATCGCATTTTGAAATTTTCATAGTAGGTAAATGCAAGTTTTCTGCTGACTTTGATCCGCTTTTTCATTTAAATGTCCATTGGATCGGCGTTGATCGGTTCACGTTTTAATTTTTCGTTCGATTCATGTCGATCGAATACATACCCTCTCGTTACACGCAGACTACCTATCATACTCTTTTTTTTTTTAATTGAACAGTTCGCCTTCTGCTGCGTCTGCAGCAATTGTTGTTGCGAATATGTTGTGCGTGCTGATTTTAGT